TTGTGTTGAGAAGTCTGCTGTGATTCTGATGGGCTTTGCTTTGTATGTGATTTGTTTCTTTTCTCTAACTGCTTGTAGAACTTTTTTCTTCTGTTTGGTTTCTGGAATTGTAACAATTATCTGCCTATGTGTAGATTTTTTTTTTGAAGAAGGCTAGTCGGCGTCCTATGTGCCTCACTTGTCTGTATGTCAAGTTCTTTTCCCCTGCTTGGCAAGTTTTCTGTCATCACTTCTGTGAATAGCTTTTTATGTCATCTGCCTCTTTCCTCTTTCTTCGTTGACTCCAATCAGTCTTATGTTATTCTTCTTTGCATTGTCTAGTAGCTGGTGGATTGATATCTCATGGTCCCTTACAATTTTAATACAATTTTTCTTTTCTTGGTCACTTATATTCTTGGTCAATCTTATATTCTATATCTGAAATTCTGCCCTCACATTGGCTCATTCTGCTATGTAGACTTTCAGTGGAGTTTTTAATCTCCTGGAAATCTTTTTGTATCTGTTTTATGGATTCCATTTTCTTCTTATTTTGGGATTCTATCATGTTCCTCAGCTCCTCCTTTTTTTTTTAATCTGTGTCCTCTCTAGACTTATCAATCATGTGATGGACTATGGGCACAATTTCTTCTGTTAAGTGAGAAATTATTTCTGATTTCATTTTTTCCAGATCCTCTTTTGTTGCCAGTTTGGGGAGTCCAGGTGTTTCAATATCAGAGTGTCCCATCTCATTTCCCTTTGGGATTGCTGTAGGTGATCTCAAAGTCTGGTTTGGAGACTTGTTTACGTGTCTTCTCGTTTCAATTGGTGCGGGCGATATGTTTGTGTGGGAGGTTGTGTGTGTGTGCTTCTGGAGCCCTTAAAGGTCACCTTCTCTGTGGTGGGAGTGGTGGTATGGCAGCCCAGAAACCTCCTCTGTGCTGGGAGCAGTGCTATGGCAGTCTGGAAGCCTCCTCTGTGCTGGGAGTGGTAGTACAGTGGTCCAGAAGCCTCCTCTGCACAGGGAGCCATGGTCCCAAACACACTCTTATTAAGCAGAGGAAAGAGAATCCAGTTCATTTAATCCACTATGCTGCCAAAGATCGATTTTATGTCCAGTTGTTGAGGAAGGAATATAGAGACATAGGAAATGAACAGTTGAAAAAGAAGCCTTAAAGGTTTGTATTGCATTCATTGCCTTTAACCAACCTCATGACTCACTTCCTTCACCTTCAGTAGCTAACCAAAAGATGATGATATGGTAATATTAGGAACAAGCGGGGTGTTCCATCATTTTGCAAAGACAAGTGGCTCACTGAAGAAAACTTTTATCAACTTCTAAAAATAATTGAAAGGATTTGACTTTTATGGATTTGGGGGGCTCAATTTTCCTGGAATAGTGCAAATTTCAAATATTCTATACTATCTCCAGACTTTATGTTCCAAAATTTGGTTTATGGATATGATCATTGTTCTAAACTCCTCAAAACTCTAAAATTAAAAAGCCACAGACTAAAGTAGTTCAACTTGAAGTCAAACACTAAATGTCAAGCATACATGGTCTTGTCAGCAAGCAGAGCTTTTTCTATTTGGGAACTTCTACCTGGTTTAAATGAGCAAGAAGAAAAACGTGAAATTGGAAAAATATAAAGTATAGCAAATATGCATAGGCGTATACTTGTACATGCATACATGTACACACATGTTCCTTGGCTGAAAAGTAAAAAATCTTTCACTCACTCATCCTGCACATGTTGCAAAGAGACAAGTCATGTAATTGTTTTTTCAAACACATTGTTCTAAGTTCACAAAGAGTAAATAACACATACAATTATGTAATAAGTGCCAAAAAAAGTGTTTGGACGGTTGTATAAGAGTATAATAAAGAGCAAAATCTGAGAATAATTTAGAAAACAGTCACATCTTGTGGACAGGGAAGAAACAGGCCTTTATTCTCTTGGAGGTCTATGCTGGAAAGTGGTCAGGAATTTGTCAACATGGCCTCTTCAGAGGCCAGATAATCTAGCCATGGGAAACTGAACTAAGACTTGTAGGAGCTTGCATGGCATTTGCCAGGAACATCCTGTTTTGGTGGTAGAGAAGAGGTTTGCATTTGTGTCTTTGTGCTACAGAAAAACCTTAGAGGCAGAGACGCACCCACTTGGAAGCAAAACTCTTCTTGAAGTGGGAGGAAACCGGAAGCTGGAGGTGTCCTCCACCTGGTGTAGAAGTCAGCTAATTGTCACCCAGCAAATGCAGGAATATATTCACTCTGCACCAGAGAGATCACAGGCAGGTTTAGAGCCTTGCTTGCTGGTAAGTACTCACTTGTGGCTAGGGGGAAGATTTTCATAAGTGTTCAGGTTTGCAAAGCTTCATAAAGATAGTCTGTTAAGAGAATGATCAAGAAAAAAGAGAGCAATGAGGTAGTTTTAGAAATACAATATAATTTTTCATTTATTTATTCATATCTAAAATGGGTTAAATAAAGCAACATCTGGTATAAGATGCTTTAAGAAGGTTTTGTTGGCTGTTGGCTTTGCAAGTGATTGTGCTGGGGACAGTGGAGTATAATGAGCTGCTTGCAGTGGACACCTGGGAAGTACTATATCTGTGTCTGTGAGGATGTGCTTTGCCCCATTCACCTCTGCATATGTCAGATCCTCCTGCCGACATCAGCTGGGTCTGCTATTTGCATTTCTTAGAATATTAGCTTCAGAAAGGGCTTTCTAGGGAAAAATGGACTTCACACTGGGGACTTTCTTACTCAGGTCCTGGGAGGCTTTGCAGTCTCTGGACTGCTTGTTACAATAGCTCTTAGGAAGCAAGAATTTCTCTTCCATCAGCATCTGTGCATTTGCTTTTACCTTCCCAGGAAGGTCTAGTGAGGTCCCAGCCCTGAGGGTCCTGACAGGCTGAACCTGGAGACTGTTCTGTCTCCAGAATGCACTGTATAGGTAACAAGCAGCACAGAAGTAGTGGAAACAACAAGAGGGAGAACCAAGAGTGAACCTAAACTTTTCAGTATTCAAAAATACCTGTGGTAGTGAGTAATGCAGAGAACACTGAGTTCTCTTAAGACCCTTTAATTGTTGGGCAGGGACTGCCTCTGCAACAGGAAGTAATGTTTGTCTTTCTGGCCTAGTCAAGGAGGGATCAGTAAGTACCTGGAGCATGGAAAGAATATAGTCATAGGCCATTTTGTTTGGATGGGATACACCCAAACTCTCCAGTGAACCAGAAAGGAGAAAACATCACACCAACAGATGTGGTTGAACTTTGGCCATTATTGTGAATCCCCAGGAGTTGCCCCAGTCTTTCCTCAAATGCACATTAACCTTGTGACTCCACTAAAACATTTTGCATACATCTAGGTATAGCCTAAGAACAGCGTGGAAGAGGAGACCCCATGAGGCGGGAAGAGGATGAAGAGGATGGAAGCGGGCTGCAGGCAAAAGGAGCCTTAGCAATGAAGGAGGAGGAGGAGATCAGTGAGCCTGGAGAACTGGCTGGGCAGTTTGTGAGTGCTGTGCCCACCCCCATGCCCCACAACAGGGGGACCCGGTTCTCTGAAGCATGGGAGTATTTCCATCTGGCTCCTGCTCGTGCTGGGCACCATCCCAACCAATATGCCACCTGCCGCCTGTGTAGCAAGCAGGTGAGCCGTGGCCCAGGGATCAATGTGGGCACCACGGCCCTTTGGAAGCACCTGAAAAGCATGCACAGAGAGGAGCTGGAGAAGAGTGGTCACAGCCAGGCAGGGCAGCGCCAGGACCCACGGCTCCAGGGAACCCATCTCCCTGTGGGCATTGAGGGTGACTGGGCCAGGCTCCTGGAGCAAGTGGGCACCTTGACATCATGGGCAAGCCAGAGGGAAAAGGAGGTACTGAGGAGAGAGAGGGCAGTGGAGTGGCGGGAGAGGGCTGTGCAGAGGAGGGAGCAAGTCCTGGAAGAGGTGGAAAGGGCCATCCTGGAGATGAAGTGGAGGGTGAGGGCTGAGAAGACAGCACACCAGCAAGAGAAGGACCTGTCTGCAGGGGGACATCCTTTCCATTTTGTCTAAATTGTGCTTTCAGTGTCCATTCTGAAAGCACTCAGTTTAGCTAGCTCAAATATAAAGCAAAAATAATTCAGTGACAATTTGTTCTTAAGAAAAAGAGTGCATCTTGTGAATTAATCTCAGCGAGTCTGAACTGAACAAATGCTTATTTACAGGCTTCCTACTGTTTGCTGACCATTGGACAAAACTGCAATGTGCTAACTAAAGATAAAGGTTGTTTTGCCAAGATGGGCAGAAGTTGTCACATTGTTTAGTGAAAATAACAGCCTTTGTGCCTAGTGGTTGTTTTGGGGGAGGGGAAGGTTTCCATACCTGAGGCCGGCATGGAGCTGAAATGCGCCTATGCGACCAGTGACTCATAGAGACCTCCGTGCTAGCAAAGCACAGCCTTCCTGGGTCAGAGCTATTTGTATTGATATTGATAGTGATTGGAGACCTGGATGTGAATCTTGCTCTGTGTGATCCGAGGGTAGAAAGACAAAGAGGCTTCAGCCTGAGCTCTCTGGAACTTGTGATGTATCTTTTTTCCCCGTTGCAGTGTTTTATAGTCTGCTTAGATTAAAGCTATTTCCCCAGTATAGTCTAACTGTCCTTTAAATTTTTCCAACAATCCAACACATAAACCAATTAGTATGTAATTATCACAGTGAGAAGTCAAAGATTTTTCAACACACATGGTTTAAATATTAAGAATAAAGAACATAAAAATTTGCTCCAAAGTATTTATGTTTAGTCTAATTTCACATTATGTTCTATTAATGTGGAGGAGGTAGTGAGGAAGACATAAAAGAAACTCAGAAAAAGAAGACAGAAAGATGAGGTAGGTAACGAGACCTAATAAACGGATTAAAAAGAAAAGAATAGAAAATGTGTGAAAATGGGGAAGAGAGACAGTTTTCTAGAAGAAGTTCACCGCGAAAAGAAAAAAGATCATGACTGTGTCTTCATGAAGTAACTCAGGTTTTTTTTGTACCTACAGATTAGTCCTTCATTTGAAAAGCAGGTTTTGGATTTTACTTGTGCTTCCTCTGAAATGCTAACTGCACAGTAATCCATTGGTCCCTGATTAAAAACACTCTGTTCATCTTTAAATGTTCAGAGATGCTTTGAAGAAAAGGAGCCTAATAATCCATAAGGAGAGAAAAATTTTCTGAGTAAGAATATGGCTAAAATGTTAGCTTAGGAATAGAAAAATTAAACTGGATAGTACTCTGGTCTTTGTGCAAGAGTGGACTTTTGTTTTGGAAGATTTCTCTAGTGCCTTTGCTTTTTTAAGTGAGTTGGGAGTAGAACATTGAGAAGGAGAGAGCTAGGGAACACAGGAAAAGATGAAGACATGTCCCACTATCTTCTGGATAGCCAATAATTTATGGGCACCAACCTCCCTGAAGCTGATGAGACCCTGGTTTAAACATGGTGTCTTTCCTTCTACATGGTTCATTCTAACTGCTTCTTAGATTTGTAAGGTAGCTTAGGAACTAGACCTGTAGTCCCTGTGAGATGTTTGTGGAACAAACACCAATCCAAATATCAGAATTATGAAGAACACAGACCACGGTACAAGTCTATAATATTCTTTCCTCCACACCCTGGGAAACTGCCTGGTGGTACAGACTTCATTTCCCATGTGGTTTCCTCACAGAGTCACGGTGCCCCTTGTAGCACCTTCTCCATCTGTTTGGAAAACCCAGGTGCTCTCTAGTGCAAACCACGATGGCTGAGAGTCATGCACCTGGGCAGAATCACTCTGTGCCACAAAAGATGCATAAGAAAACAAGAGGCTGTCATCCCCAGGCCCTTAAAAACAAAACAAAACTCACATACATTGGAACAGAATGTAAGAAAGTCAAGGAATCCATAGGGAAAGTTTTGTAAAACCAAAACCAAATAAACACAAATAATTGAGTTGTGCATAAAAGGTACTGTAGCTCTCCTGCTAAAGTTTGATGCTGACTTCAGCATATTTTTTAGGTTATGGTGTTTGTTTTACATGTTTTTTTTTTATTGGACAGTCTCTTTCTCTTTGGGTATCATAACTTCAAACTGTTTTTGTTTCCTGTGCTTCATGGTAGGTATTTGTTTTAGATTTTTCCCCTAAATTTTGTCAAAGTTAAGAAAAATAGGAAGTGACAAGAACAGGATGGGTTAAAGCATAAAACACAGCATAAAGAGCAACATATGTGGCTTTGGAAAGTCTGAACTATCACATAAACTCTGAAGTTTTTATGCATCTCTCTTATGATATAGCTATGGACTGGGGGTTTTCTGGCCCAGCATCTTTTACTCTGATGCAAAAGTTGGCTAGTTTGGTGGGCTTTGAGCTTTAGGTGAAGGACTCTCTTCTCACTGAGCTATAGAAACACAGTGTGTGCTGTGTGAGAGTCCTGGAGAAGTCTTGCCCTCAAGAACAGGTAAGAATATGATTCCCATACGAGGAACACTTTTCTTGGGTGTCCCTGATACATGCAAGTCGGAGAGGCATCATCATTAGAATGATTTTAGATCAACTATTTTATAGAAAAAACAAATTAGTCATAAACTTGAGAAGTTTAATAAAACTGCACCACAGGTCCCAACTGACTGAGTCTCCAGCACAATCCAGTACTGAAAGCAGCTGAGCAGTGAACACATACCACAGGTAAGACAGCCAATATACACATATTCACTTAGCTAATTTCTAGGGAATGAAGTGAGTGCAGGAAATTACTGTTAATAAATACTATGGTTGCCAGATGATAGGTGCTTTGCATATATTTTCTCATCTGATCCTTTCACCATCCCCAGGAAGTTAGAACCACTGCCCCATTCATTGATATGCAAGTTAAGGAACTAAGGTTCCCAGAGCCCAATTTAATAAGTCATGAAGAAGAATTAAGCTGGATGTCATGAGTCAGGAGGATCACAAATTCAAGCCCAGCCCGGGCAACTTAGTGACTCAGTGAGATCTTGCCTCAGATTAAAAAAAGGACTGGGGATGTAGGCCAGCGTGAAGGTTCTGTGTTCAATCCTCATTATTGCAAAATTTATTAAAAATAATAATTAAAAATAGTTCTATCTAATTGCAAAATCTATGCTGTTTCGTTCATTATCCTACTCTGTTTCCTAGAACCATTCACCTAACAGATTAATGAATGTACGTGCTGAAGAAGGGATGGATGAAAGAGAGTGAGTGACAAATAATGGATAGGGAAAAAATCCCTGAGACATCTATTATGTGTCATGTGCTCCAGAACGGCATAGAAATTTGATTTTCCTAAGAACTCCATGAAGTATTCATTATTATCTCAGCTTTCGAGATTAGTAAACTGAAGCTTATGGAGGCTAATGCTTGTTGAGGTTATATAGCTCGTAAGTGGTTGAATTAAGATTTTATATTAGTGCTATCTGACTCTTAAGAATGATGTCTTTTCATTATGCAGCCATCTTCCCTGGATGTGGGCATGCTAAATATGCACCCCAAGCCAGCCCTTCATTAGTGACTCAGCCGATTGTTTAAGACTTTTCAGGCTCAAATTTCTCATCTGTAAAATTACAGATGCTCTACCCCTTTCAGAGGCTTTTTTCCTGGTACCAAGGATTGAAGTCAGGATGTTGCGCTTGTAAGACAGGCATGGTACCACTGAGCTAAATTCCAGGCCCTCTGAGGCTTATTGAAAGTACCACAAGATAAAAATATGTGAAAGTGCTTTGAAGAGTTAATAAATCACTAAAGATGCAGCAGCTGTTAGAAGAACATTACAGTGAGGAGTTACTAATGTTTGGTAGGATCTGAAAAGATTCCTAGACAAGCCATGTCATGTAGCTGATGATGTGGAGTTGGAGAGAGTTTATGCATGAATTCCCTAGGAAGAAAGTTCTCCAGTTTTCCCAGTCAGCACCTATGCAAACTTGGGTACAGAAAAGGAAATTTTGTATACCTTGTAAGGCAAAGTCTTTTTTTATAACTGTGATTCTTGGACCCAATTGATGGGTTTTATATCTGCATTAAGCTTATATTACCCATGTCTTAGTCATTTTCCTGTCTTTGGGACAAAATACCCAATACTTACAAATTAAGGCAGGATTTATTTTCGTTCACAGTTTCAGTGCATGGTCAGCTGGCTTTGAGGCAGAAACAAGATGGCAGAAGGGCATGGTGGAGGAAAAGTTATTTAACCCATGGCAGCCAAGGAGCAGAGAGGGAAAGGAGGTGCCAGTGAGGAAGGCATATCCTTTCCAGGTCACACTCCAGTGACTGGCTTCTTTCCGCCAGGCCTTGCCTCCTAACTGCACATTTAGCTCTGGACTCCACTGATGAGTAATGTCTAGTGCTCCCATGATCCAATCACCTTCTCCAAGCTCCACCTCTGAACACATGAGACTTTTGGGGGACATTCTAGATTTAAATCTTAATGACCTCTAAACACTGGCACTAAGAATGTATAAGAGACCCTTTAAGAAACAAAGACACCAAGTCCTGGGATTTAGCTCAGTGGTTCCGCCACCTGCCTTGCAAGAGCAAAGTCCCGAGTTTGATCTCTGGTACAAAAAAAAAAAAAAAAGGAAACAAAGACATCTATCCAAAACTATACCAGTAGATTATTTGTTTTATTTAAGCTGTTGAAATAAAGTCCACTAATAAACTTAGAAATTAATTGGAGCAGAGCAAAACACATATTTTTATATACTCAGAACAATAGTATTATCTAAGAGACTAACACACGCAACTGACAAAAAACACAGATACTTGGAGAAAGCACAGTCATCCAAAACCATTCCACAGTCTGAGCCATGATTTGTATGCAGTCATCAAATTAAATGACTGATGTTTATCAGGACCAGAAATCATAATACAATGTATGCCACACACTACACTGAGAATTTTTCACATATTATTTTTATTTTTAAAACAAAAATGCATAGACACTCTTATTGATACTTCATATATTTGGAGAAATTGACTAAAAGATGTGATAAAATTTGCTCAAGATTGTAACCAGCAAGAGCAGGAGCAAGGAAGAGGTCCAGATCCCACTGACTGGAAGCTTGGAATTACCCAAAAGTTAGAGGATACTAGTTTACTTTCCTTTTACTTCTGCCCTCCCTCTTGCTGCCAAAGAAATAGCCAGCGTTCTGAGAAAGTACAGCAGGGCACATTTTTTCTTGTCACTTTCAAATAAAAATAATGAGGAAGTTGGTGCAAGAAATGGATTACAACAAATCAAATGTCAGCTGAACAAAACCCTCATTCTTACACCAGGATTCACACTGCTTTCTGTCCTACTTTTCTCTCAATTTTTTTTATTAAGGAGAAGTCTAAACAAGTCAGTTTATTTTTGTAGGAAATTTAAGGACTACGGATGCAGATCACACCTTCTGAGACCCTAAAGTCAAAGTAAGAATCCCTATTTGGTTTCTAGAATCAGCTCAGCTTCCTTTCATCTCTATCAGCAATTAATTGGCTAAGGACTAAGGAGTAAGGTCCTTTGCAAGAACATTCTTAGCAGGTATATAACTTGACACACCTTGGCACATAACGCTATAGATTTTCAAAGGCTTTAGGGTGACTCACCTTTCCCAAGACATCCATGGTTTTGTTTTCCATAAACATGGAGATTTATGGCTTAGGCTAAAGAAAAATAAAACTCAATTAGTGGCACTGAATGCAGCTGTTACTAGCTGTTGTGTGTGTGTGTGTGTGTGAGCACACATGTGTTCTGTGAGAAACACTATCTATCAAATATTTATTAAACACCCACTCCATGCCTGACAGTACACTAGAAATCCAGGAAACAGAAATGGACAAACTATTTCACTGAAATTTACATTATCATGGAAAATGGAGGTAAATAAGCTAGAAGTTATAATACACTGAAATAAGTACAATGATTGAGACCATATAGGATTTGAAGAAGGCTTTTAAGAAAAGTTTCTAACTGGACCTTGGAGGATAAAAGGCCTTGGAAGATGCAACAGGTGACTGAAACTGATTGGAATGTGGGGGATTGCAGGGGTAGACAGTGGGGAAAGAAGAGTCTTTTATGTGTCCAAAGACTAAGAAATAAAGGTCATTTTTAGGACCTGGAAAAGAGCCAGAAAAAGACATGATATTTGTTTGTTTTCTTGGCACTAGAAAAATATCAAGAGATAGTTCAGCAATTTTGTTGTCCTGGTAGATTATAAGTGTCTCAAAGCCAGAGTTTGTTACGCATCCCTTCATCTCCAGCACTTAGTGTCCAGCACAAAGTGCACATGGAATACATCATGTTAAACTGAAGTGACTTCAAGTAGGTTTTTTGACTACTGCAGGTAGAGAGCCTTTTATTACCCCATGGAAAGAGCATTAAGGCCTCTTTTCCCAGATTCTGTTCTGCCTGCTACATCTGCATAGCCCTGCCTTCTACACATTGAACAGTCTTGCCAGCTACCAGCTCATTGCGTGAGGATTCATTGGGATGGTAAGAACACACTCAGTACATCAAAAGGAAAAACTAGGAGTTAGTAGTGATAATGGAGAGGATTTGGCAGCTAAATATTCTGGCTTCTTTGCGCTTAATTTGACATAACTCTGATGTGTTCTATACTATGATCCAGTGTATTCAGTGGAATTGATTTCTATGCCCATGGTGGTAACTGGTTTAATCATGCACATGTTATTATTTAAATTCAATTTCTCACTCCTCTTGTTTCCTAAGATGACATCTCAAATAAGTCAACTCAAATCTTTGTTGCTATGTTTTTCTTTCAGGGAAAAGCAAACCAACATGTAACCCTAAAACTCTCAAGGGAGAAAGGATATTTCTGACACTCTACTAGTAGACAAGTACCAGTAGAATGAAAGACTTGGAAGAAACAACAATTACTAAAACTTGCAGAGCTGATCAAAAGAGACAGAGCATCTTTAATGCTTAAGACAATCAAATTTTCAGCTTAGGAGTGGGGAAAGCAAATTTGTGATGGAAGATAGCTTCCTGCCAAGCAAAGTGATGTCACAAAGTGAGCGAAGGTGACAAGTGAAGACAGGTGAGGGAGGTGCAGGAAGCAACAAAGGAGCTGGTCTGTACAAAATGGAAAGCTAGGTAAAAAG